TTAGTGCTTTGTTTCCTTTCTGATGATTAGTTTACAGCTTTATGCTGCCTGCTGGAACCCTTATCTATTCTTTGGAAAGAGCAATAAATTGTGTGAAAGGAGGACAGCCAGACTGCCTTCTTTCATCCTTGAAACTATCCTAGCTGTGAAGCTCACAGGGAAGAACTTATCTTCTGTTTCACCCCTCTGGGGTTGGTTTTGTTTCCACCTTTTTTAGGTTGATAAAGGGATTGATACCTTTCCAGGATCATAATATTGCATTGGTAATTGGTACAATATGAAATATGTGACAATCACAAGGTATATGCCCACTGTAGACCAGGGCCATCCCTAGCTATTTGGGTGCCTGGGAGGCAGGAGCTGTGGGGAGCCACTTTTGGGGGCCCCACAGGCCCAGAATGGCCCCGGGATTAGCGGGGGGGGGGCGGGAGCAGCCCGCTCCGCTTCCCTCACCCTGACCCCAGACATGTCGCTCGGGGCAAGGGGCTTGGGGAAGGGATCCCTCCCCCCCACTCACCGGCAGTGACGGGAAGCGGAGCAGCCCGGTCCCAACCCACTCTACCCCGCCAGCTCCCAGCCACGGTCCTCCGCTGGTGAGCGCTGGGAGCGGTCCTTCCCCTAACCCAAGCGACGCGGCTGGGGCACGACAAGGGAAGCGGAGTGGGCTGAGGCCGCGTCTCTCTGCTTCCCGCTGCCAGTGAATGCGAGGGGCGATCCTTTCCCCGCACTCAGCGGCGCCAGGCAGTGTAGCACCGCGGCTGGGAGCTGGCAGAGTAGAGCGGGTTGGGGCCGGGTTGCAGGGGGGAAGGGTAAGAGGCAGGGCGGAGGGAGTTGTCCGGAGCCCCACAACCCCTAGGGACGGCTCTGCCCCTTGCAGGGGGGGCCGGCCAAGGGATAGGGCTTGTCGAAGGGGCTGGTGCTGCCATGTGTGCAGCACGCAGCTGCCTAGGGCACCATAAATTTGGGGCAAATTGCTGCCCCAATTTCATCGTGCCCTATGCAGCTGCGTATGCTGTGTATGTCTAAGGATGGCCCTGCTGTAGATGTTTCATGCACTTACCAGGCTCCTGGTAAGATAGGGTTACCATATCTAATAAATAAAAAAAGAGGACCCTCCACGGGCCCTGGCCCCGCCCATTCCCCACCCCTAGCCCCGCCCCAACTCCGCCCCTTCCCCGCCCTAACTCCGCCCCC